TGACTCTGCAAAGGCATTAGACTGTGTGGATCTTAACAAATTATGGATAAGTTTGCAAAGAATGGAAATTCCAGAACACTTAACTGTACTTGTGAGGAACCATTACAAAGATCAAGAGACAGTTGTTGAAACAGAACAAGGGGATACTCCATGGTTTAAAATCAGGAAAGGTGTGCATCAGGCTTGCGTTCTTTCACCATACTTACTCGGTCTGTATACTCAGCAAATAATCTGAGAAGCCAGACTACATGAAGACTAACACAGCATCAGGATTGGAGGAAGACTCATCAACAGCCTGCACTATGCAGATGACACAACGTTGCTTGCTGAAAGCAAAGAGAACTTGAAGCACTTATTGATGAAGATCAAAGAATACAGCATTCGGTATGCATTGCACATCAACATAAAGAAAACAAAAATCCTCGCAGCTGGGTCAATAAAGCAACATTATGACAAATGGAGAAAAGATTGAAGTTGTCAAGGATTTCATTTTACTTGGATCCACAATCAATGCCCATGGAAGCAGCAGTCAAGAAATCAAACAACATATTGATTGCATTGGGCAAATCTGCTGCAAAAGACCTCTTTAAAGTGTTAAGAAGCAAAGATGTCACTTTGAGGACTAAGGTGCACCTGACCCAAGCCATGATATTTTCAATCTACTAATATGCATACGAAAGTTGGCCGATGAATAAGGAAGACCAAAGAAGAATTGATGCCTTTGAATTATGGTGTTGGCAAAAAATATTGAATATACAATGGACTGCCAGAAGAAAAAACAAATCTGTCTTGGAAGAAGTATAGCCAAAATGCTCCTAAGAAGTGAGGATGGAGAGACTTTGTTTCCCGTACTTTGGACATGTTATCAGGAGGGACCAGTCCTTGGAGAAGGATATCACACTTGGCAAAGTAGAGGGTCAGCGAAAAAAAGAAATACCTTCAATGAGATGAATTGACAAAGTGGCTGCAAACAATGGTCTCAAACATAACAATGATTGTGAGAACGGCGCAACACCAGGCAGTGTTTTGTTCTGTCGTTCATAGGGTCGCTATGAGTCAGAACTGACTGGATGGCCCCTAACAACAACAATAACCTTTTTAAAGGGTCCCTGTCCTTCAGAGTGTCCCCACTTAAGGTGAATGAATCCATCAGCAACAGCTTAGTACAGTGGAGGATATACCATGGAGGAACTAAGGTGCCAAAAAAAAAACAAAAAACAAAACCACTGTGTGTTCCTAGGCAAGTGGCTTAATCTTTCTTTAGCCTCAATTTCCTTTTCAGTAGAATGGGGATAGTGATCCCTGTTTTTCTAATTCTTCTGGGGATGTTGCAAGGATTTAAAGATACGACAGCAAGCTGAGGACTGTAAACCATTCTTCAAGTGGTTTGGGGCTAAACCTAGAGTGCTAAAAGGGATGTTGCTTGAAGGGTTGCAGCTCCTTGGTAGGATAACTGCAACCCAGGTTTATTAATTATCTATTACTGTGTAATGAATTACTCCAAATCTTAGCAGCTTAAGACAATAAACTTTTATTATCTTACACAGTTTTTGAGGGTCAGGAATCCAGGAGTAACTTAGCTGGGTGGTTCTGGCTCAGAGTCTCTCAGCAGGTTGCAGTTAAGCTGTCAGTCAGGTTGCAGTCATCTCGAGGCTTGACTTGGGCTGTAGAATCCACTTTCAAGCTCACTCATGTGGTTGTTGGCAGGCCTCAGTTCTTCACTGGCTGTTGGCCAGAGGCTTCAATCTTTTGCCATGTGGGCTTCTTCATGGGGCTGCTCACAAGATGGCAGCTTGCTTTCCCCAGAGTAAGAGATCCAAGAGAGAGAGAGAACAAGAACACCTAAGATGAAAGCTACAGTCTTTTTATAACCTAGTACTGAAAGTGACATATCATTTCTGCCTTATGCTATTGGTCACACAGATCAACCCTGGTACAATATATGGGAGGGAACTACATAAGAGTGTGAGTAATAGGAGGCAGATATTATTGGGGACCATCTTGGATGTCTCCTACCATAGCAGGTCTGGTCTTCGGTGTTGCAGTTTTGGAAGCTCAATTTAGGCTGTGTATCAGAATTCATCAGATTCAAGAGACCGATTCATTCACACAAATCAAATTCACATAAGACCTTATCTTGGTACAACTCTTGCTCTTTTCCAGAATGTAAGCTTCATTAGGGAGGGTTTTTGTGTGTGCCTGGTTTGTCACTGCAGTTTCTCCAGTGCCTAAAACAGTGACTACCACATAGTAGGAACCCAATAAATAAGTCAGAACGCTGATTGTGTTAATAGTAACCTATATAAGGCTAATTTCCAAAATGCAAAGATAACTCATAACCCTACTTTCCCACTTCTACATGTGGAATTTTCTTTCTCTGCACCTGGTGGGTTTCATAATTTGCTATAATGACTCACAGAACTCATGGAAACTACCTATAACTATAACCAGACAGGACATGTCCCAGGGACATGCCACTCTTTCCCGTGCATGTATGGATGTTCACTTCAGGAAACCCAAAAGAGCAAGGCAAGCTCCAAGGTCCTCCGTCCTTAGACAGTGGGGCCTCATGCATATTCATGACTCAGTGAATATGCATGATTGACTACATCATGTCCCTCTTCTTTCCTGAGGTTTGCTACACAGGGAGGGGCCCGTGTAGTCCCTGTTGTTGTTAGGTGCCCTGGAAGTCGGCTCCAGCACATTTAATGACTCTATGTAGAACAGAACGAAACACTGCCCAGTCCTGCGCCTTCCTCACAATCGTTGCTGTTTGAGTCCATTGTTGCAGCGACCGTGTCAATCCATCTCGTTGAGGGTCTTCCTTTTTTATGCTCACCCTCTACTTTACGAAGTATGATGTCCTTCTCCAGGGACTGGTCCCTCCTGATAACATGTCCAAAGTATGAAAGACTGAAGTCCCACCATCTTAGTCAGTTACATATGTCTGTTACCTGGCCATTTTAGAAAACAAAGGGTACCTTGCTTACTCGATAATTCCAAGGGCTATTTTCAGAAACTAGAGACAAAGGGCCAAATCAAGTTCTTTGTCCCATACTTCTTTATTAATCACAATGAGAAATATATGTCAGGTGAATTGGACATTTTACGTCAGTTGATCAAATAGAAAATAATATGAGAAGTCAGTTGGGTCTTTGATGAACATGGAGTCAGACAAGGAGGTTCCCAATGTTTGTGGCCCTTAAGAATGTACCTGTCAAGGGGACTTAATAGCCATGACACCCCTATCTAGATGACACAGGAGACGCAGAGATATATTCTTGCCTTTTTGAGTAGGTTTCATGCAGACACCATATTTAGCTGAACAGTCTTCAGATGCTGACTGGAGCAAAAATAGCACAACTTGCTGCTTTCTTTTTTTTTACTCTAGTCATCTTCCCAAAGCCTAATCACCGTAATTAGTGCCCAAATCGCCAGCATTTGCAGAGCATCTCTTAAAGTGTATTTCTTCCATAGATGAAAAATTATGCCTATCCTGCATTAGTTCTTACTAGTTTCTCGCAGACTTTAATTTCCAAGTTTTTTCTCATTTCCAAGTTTATTGGAAATAAACTTTGTCATTGTCCCTCGTGTGACTATTTTGTAGAGAAAATTGTGAACAAGACTCAGTTTCTGTATTTGTGGCAAAACTAATTCAACTGAAAGATTAAGAAAGTAACCAAAAAGAAGGTCCTCTCCTCTCATAAACTTTTTGTGGCAATGTGTATTGATGCAACCTTCCCAGAGGGCAATTTAGCATTATCCACTGAAATTTCCAATGCACACATCTTTTAACTCAGTAACCCCATCTGAAGGAAACTAATCTACAGAAAGATTGCACAAAAGTGCAAAGATAAATGTACACATGTATAAGGATATTCACTGTAACTTATTTTGTAATGGTGAAAATTTGGAACAACTTACAGATTATTTAAGTAATGATATAGTCATGTAATGGAACTGGTACTCACTAAGCGCCCAGTAAATACTTGATATTGAAGGATTAACATATTGTTACATGAGAAAAGTAAGTTGCATGTCACACACTGGTCTTTGTTCAAAAATGGGATCATTCCACATTTTTACAAGCACAGAAAAAAGTGTGGATGGATAACATCAAACGTAACGAGGGTTAAATTTCGGGAGTAGAACTGGAATTTGGAGGCCAAGTACATTTTTCACTTTATATAGTTTTATACTGTTTGAACATTTTTTCAAAACTTCCGCAAAAAAAAATTTTTAAAAATAAGAAAATATGTAGTAGCCTCTAAGTGGCAAGTGAGTGAAATAGTAGAGACAGTGATGGTTTGTAGAGATACAGACAGGAATCACGACTGGCTGGGATGATCAGAAAAGATTTCCTGGATAAATAGGGCATGAAGGATGGTTCGAGCATTTCAGGCAGAAAAACCGAGACAAGAGAACACCTGTTGTCATTGGGGATAGTAAGGAGATCTGTAGCAGCAGGAAACAAATTTGGTAATGAGGAATCAGTCAGTGTAGGTTCCTGGGTAGCAGCAGAGAGACGCGGAGAATGTGGTGTTTTAAATTTAAGCTAGCAGCAGTTGCCGCAGTATATGATTAGGTGAGGGTTAGCGCCTGGAAGTGCTGGTGCCCACTAGGGAGTGCTGTTTCAACAACAGAGCTCCACTTGGACTAATGTGAAAAGAATGTACAACAGGTAGAATGTTCAAAGAGGACGAGTGGGAAAAATTCCAAAAATAAAATACAAATATTAACTACACTCTCATTACCGCGGCCTCCTTGCGCAACACACCACTACTCATGTTAGTATGCCAATAACACGTGCCACCCAGCCTCCGTCTAAAGCGACTACTATTCCCAGGCACCCTCGCGCGAGCCCAAGGCCCTCTTCCCGGGTGCAAGTGGGCCTCGCCGCAGAGCCTTCTGGGAGTAGTAGTTCTGCAGTGTCACTCGGGAGTTGTAGTTCTCTTCCCACAATCGGCTAGGCTAGGCGGCGCCGGCGATCAGAGTAGCGCTGGGTGTTTAGGGGCCAAGATGGCGGCTCGCCGGGGACGGAGAGACGGAGTCCCGCCGCCCCCGGGAGGGGGCCCCGGACCAGGACCCGGCAGTGGAATCCGCAGCAGTGGTTGGGGGGGTCGGAGCCAAGCGCCGTATGGGACCGTGGGATCTGTGAGTGGCGGAGAGCAGGTGAGAGGCTGGCGGGCGGCCCGCGGCTGGCAGCACAGCGGCGTGTGCCGGGCGGTGACACGTGGACGCCACAGGAAAGGGAGGAAGCTCTATAGAATCGATGCCGGGTAGCCGCGGGAGCCGGGCTGGGCCGAGTGGACCTGGGCCATTTGTTGTGGGGAGGCGGGGTCCCTATGGCTATTCTTAGGGGTCGCCAGAGGAGCAAAGCCTGGTGTCGGAAATATTATGGGCCACGCTGGGGGGGTCAGGGTACTCGGACTTGGAGTAGAAGGCTAAGACCTTCTAAAGATGCGGAGTGCTGCGCCCCTAGCTCCGCCCCGCAATTGCCTTTTCGGAGCCACGTGGGTGGGGGGGTGCTATTTTCCCGGGAGAACTTGTCTGCCTCCCCTCCCCCTCTAGGCGGCCCCGGGCACCCACTTGGGTTGGGTTCCTGATGGGGGGGCCGCGGGTCCACGTGGGGGCGGGGAGGGGATGTCCACGTGGCTCCCGCCCCAAGCTCCCCTGCATTTCGCATCTGCTAGGAACCGCACTGCCGGGAACTGGGTGTGTCCCAGTCGGTCCCGCCATCTCCGGCCCAGGCTGGGGCCCCCGGCCGGGAAGTGGGGAGGTAGGGGGTTGCTAGAGTCAACTTTGACCAGAGCTTTGGAGTTTTTTCCTGCTGCTTTGGTCTGCGGCCACTCTCGACAGCGGATGGCGAAGGACTTTTCCATATGTCCTAAGAGTCGCTTCCCTGTGGATGGCGGAGTGTGTTGGGGATGGTAGAGGGCTGAGGCTATGGAGGAGTGAGCTTGTGGCGGCTTCTGTCTGACCGGCTTGGGGTGGGTTGTGAGTCACGGGTACTGGCGTTTTGGTTGCCTGCAGTCCTGCCTCATTCGTGATTCAAGGGGAATGGGGAGTGTCAGCATATACTTGGGACAAGCTTCGGTAAAGGAAGGGGAATCTCTCCCCCGCTCATTTGTTCGTCTGTCATCTCTTTGGAGGAGGCTGCTAAGTCCTCCCGTGAACTGACACACAGCAACTGGGGTGGTCCGTGTTTTAAGGCTCTCTGGAATTTTTGCCGTGGATTGGAAAAGCTGGAGGTAGTTTGACAACTATTCAACACTAGTTGAACATTTATTGGATAGGGGGAATTCTTTCTGTCAGATTATCTCTTCTTGGCCTTCAGTTCTGCATACTTAAAAAAGTGTTATTGTTGCACTCCTCAGCAGAGGGCTTCCTAAAAGTTCCCACCCAGGGTGGGGTGGGCAGGAATTATTTTGAGTTGTTATCTCTCTTAACCACTTAAGCTGAGTCCTTGAGAGCTTTTTGTCTCCAGGTGGGAGTTGGGCTACAGGCTATCAGGTAATGTCAAGTCCAGCAGACCAATCCAGGCCCTACCTCCCCGTCTGCCCCCGCCGCGCCCACTTTCCCAGAGGCCACATCTTGTTTGACTGGTGCTGCCCACCTTCTGAGGGAGAAGCTGGAAAGATACAAGATCCAGTTGTAAGCCAAGTTAGGTGGTCATTTGGGGTGTTGGAAAGGAGATTGCCCCTCCCCCTCAACAGACTGACTTGTGAGCTAGGTAGTCAACCAGCAATTTATTGAGATATCCCTACATTCAGGCACAAGGGGTACAATGGTGAACCACACAAACATGGTCCCTGCCCTCCAGAGTCTTTTGTTTCTACCAGAATAGGCAGACAATAAGCAAATAATGAGTGGGAGAAAAGGAAGTATAGGCTGTAATTGTATAATGAGCAGTAGTAGTCTACTTTGCAGGGTCTGGAAAGGGACATTTTGATCTGAGACATAAAAGTTCCAAGTGTGTGGAAAAGCTGTCATTGTAGGGAACAGTATATGAAGGCATTGAGGTGGGAGACAACATGGCTTATTTGAGAAACCGGGAGACCTGTATGGCCCACCTTCTTGTGGACAGAGCCAGAGTGGTGGGAGAGAACAGCTGGAGCAGGAGAGCCTGGTGGGGAAATGTGCTTCAAGCAGGACTCCTGTAGCCATATTTTAAAGAGTTTAAGCTTAATGCTAAGAGCAGTTAAGTAGGTTGCCACTGAAAGGATTTAGGGAGGGTTTCAGGAAAGTGATCAGATGTGTATTTTAAAAAGTTTGGAACCCTGGAGGAACAAAATTGGGTGTGGGAAAGCCAAGGGGGAGATTGTTAAAGTTAGAGATGCTGGTGGCTGGCCGTTCCTGGCCCACTTGTAGCCTGGGCTTAGGCCCCGTATGGTCTTGGGGAGCTGTGCTGTTTGGGAGTTGAGAAATGGTTGAGGTTAGGCGAGGGGAAGGGAGGGTCTCTTTCCTGGGGCTCTAGTACCTGCCTGATGGAGGTGGAGATGAATGGTTCCTTGAGTGGGGCACTGTCTTGAGATTCTGGCCTGGTGACTAGGGCTCTGGTAGGGTGTCAGGGCAAAGTAGGGACGCAGCCTCCTTGTTCACACAGGAGTGTTTGCTGAGCCAGATTCTATTCAGCTGCTGGTTGTAGTTACAGGATTGTGAAGCCTTGGGAGGGGTTAGTGCCTAAAACCTGCCACCTTTCACTTCATCTCTGGGACTAGTCTCTTCAAATGTCCCTATCCAACCTTTCCCTAGGCATCTGAACTCCTCAGTTTATGTATGGAGGGTGTGTATACATGTGTATGATGGTGGGGGGGCAGGCTAGGGCATGTGTGGTCACACCTGTTGCTTTTTTTGTCTTTGGGAAGAAGTGCAGTTTCCCTTTGCAATAGAAGGTGGTGGGGAGCTGGCCTGTGTTTGTTCCTGTTCCCCGGCCTTTGCATCTGTTTCCTATGATGCAGATACCCATGCCTCTGGCCTCAACAGCCCCATTCCAGCCACTTCTGGCCCTGCCCACGCCCACACTCATGACAGGCCTGGGCGGCAGCTACTTGCCTAACAAGGCTGAAGAAGTTAGTTCTCATAGGAGTGTGGGCTGGGGCCTCTCCATCTGCAGAACCAGGCTTTCCCTTTTGCTTTCACCTGGTAGAGGTGGAGAAGGGACCCTTCTCTTGGGACTCCCATTGAGAAGTTGGGTGGCACACTATAAAAACCTACTGTGGTCAAGTTGATTCCGACTCATAGTAACCTTGTGTATAAGACTTCAAAATAAAGTGAAATAAGTGTGAAAATGAACTGTGTACAAGGGACTATCAAGCATCAGGATGACAGGGAAGTATAAGCACAGTTTAAACTCTCAGGAACCAAGAAAAATATCGTAAAATACAAAGGGTGCTTGCCCCCAAAGATAGTATTTGCCCCAAAGGAGCTTGGAATCTAGTTTTAGGAGATTGTCATGGGTTTGGGCAGGATGTGATCACCAGAAAAGTGGTTGAGACAGGAAAATATGTGAATTCAGGGGTGTGAGGAGAGATCAGCATGAGCTGGGGAATCCTGAGGTGTCTTCTAGAAGAAGGTGGGATTTGAGCTAACTAGAGAAGAAAAGCATAAGTGGAAATTGAGGGCGGTAAGGTTGTTATAGCTGAAACTGCCTCTTTTGCTTTGGTATCCTTTCAGACTGCTTCACCACTGCCGGCAGATTGCTGCTGAATGATCTTTTTTACTCTCCAGTTTACTAATCTTCTTTGGCGCCAACTGTTTCTGGACGGAGTCCAAACTTTTTCTGCTCAGAAGGTCCTTGAATACTGCTATCCTGGTTGGAGCTTTTGCTCATGGGTTGCACTTCTGTTTGTCTAGCTAGCCCAGAGGTTTGGCAGTGGTAAGGCTGCTGCTGAGTTTGGGTCCTTTGGTGAAGGGCTAGGTACCTGGTTTATGGAGCATATCAAACAGCTGCCCCTAGTTGGCCCATGCCCTGCAGCCCTCCCCATGTTCTCTGACCTTGCCCTCTTTTGCCCCAGGTGCTCCTGCATGAGGAAGGGGATGATTCTGGCTTTGTCAGTCTATCTCGCTTGGGCTCATCTCTGAGAGACAAGGACCTGGAGATGGAGGAGCTGATGCTGCAGGATGAGACACTGCTGGGGACCATGCAGAGCTACATGGATGCCTCCCTCATCTCTCTCATTGAGGATTTTGGGAGCCTTGGAGAGGTGAGCTGGGCTGGCTTGGAGGTCATCAGGTTGGAGCTTGGTGTGGGAGGCTGTAGCTCAAATGCTTGGTGTTGCTATAGGCAGGATTCTGCTCTGCCTGGACCTGGGCTCCTGGGTACCTAGCCTGACTCCTTGAAGAGTGTTTTTTGTCTCTAGGTGGGAGTAGGACTGCAGGCTGCCATATAATGTACCATGTAAGGCTACCCTGGCGGGCTCAGACTATTCTCTCTGCCTGGCCCCCTGACCTACATGTCCAGAAAGTTCCGATCTCTGACTTTGAGCCCAATTCCAACCTAGCCCAGGATTATCTGCTGGGCATCCCACATCTTACCTGAGGATGGGGGCCAGGGGTTGTATGAAATCCAAGCTTAAGACTTGCCATGCACTCACAGGTTGTCCCAGATATCTAAATAGCCAGGAGACCATTAGAAAACGGAGACCAGTCACTAATAGTGATTTCTCCATGAATATCACGTCTTTGCAATCAGAGCCTGAACACACAAGATGCTCCCAGAGCATTAGCACATGGAAAGTAGCTTTTATTATTTACAACAAGAAGCCGACATCATAAAACAGGAGGAGTGGTCCCCCTGGCTCAAAAGCTGTCTGGATGGAGATGGAAAACTTTTCTGTGTGTACTCCACTATGGTTTGTAGGTGAGGGACTCAAAGGGACAGTTTTCACGACAAGCCAGTCCTCCCTGGCTTCTGGAAACTATCCCTGTGGAGATGGAGAACTGTTCTATGCATGCCTCCACCTGGCATTGTAGGCAAGGGACCCCAAGGTCCTTCCTTCAGCCATTTTTATACCCCAAAGCTTATGTGACCCGCCACACTGATGGCAATGTAGATTTTCCTGCCTGACCACCCTGGGTGGGGGGTGGTCAGACATGTGGGCACCAACCCATAATGGCATCTCTTTAACACTGCTGACAAACATTAGGCCTCAGAGGGTGGGGGGAGTGTTTGTTCCAAGGCCTTCTATATCATGCCTCCCTCCTTTCCTGAGGCTTGTTGCCAAGGTGATGAGTTGGGAGCTCCCAACTCTTTTGCACATTTTAAGTGTTGCCTGGATGTTTTAGAAGAAGGGAAGAGCACCTTGATTGCTCAAATTCCAATGGCTATTTTAAGAAACCAGAGACAAAAGGTCCCACAAGACAGGTCTCAGTTGACGCTAGAGAGGTAGTGGATGGTGTAAACGAGATTAGAATCCATGCCTCCTGGTGCCCAGATCTTCTCTCTAGCAAATTGAGCTGAGCCTGGGAGACATGATTCTCTTGGCATCCAATCCATCTCAGTGGCCCAGTAGGTCATTTGGCATGTTAATGGGACCTTCCTGTTGTTTTTGTGGAGCAGAGCAGGTTATCTCTGGAGGATCAGAATGAAGTGTCACTGCTTACAGCCTTGACTGAGATCTTGGACAATGCAGATTCAGAGAACCTGTCTCCATTTGACAGCATTCCTGACTCGGAGCTGCTTGTGTCGCCTCGGGAAGGCTCCTCCGTGAGTGTGGGACCAGGGGAAGAGGGTATGTGGTTAGTACAACAGTTAAAACTTTGTCTGTAGGCCTGCTCACGTTCTGAGGCAAAAGCTGATTCCAGATCTTTCTTCTCTCCTTTTTAGTTGCACAAGCTGCTTACCCTGTCTCGGACACCCCCAGATCGTGACCTCATCACCCAGGTTGACCCGCTGGGGCCTACCACAGGCAATAGCAGAGTGAGTGGGGTAAGCCTGACCTAGGGAGCCTCCGGGACTCTTTCAAGAGGTAGGAGTGTATGGGGACAGGTCTTAAAAAATACTTTATTGGAGAAAATTCCTGAAGCTTCTCTTTTCTTCTGCAGGTTGATATGTCTGTCACAGATCCTTGGGATTTTTCCCCACCCTCTTTCTTGGAGACTTCCTCCCCCAAGCTTCCTAGCTGGAGGACCCCAAGATCACGACCCCGCTGGGGCCAGTCCCCTCCTCCTCCACAGCGTAGTGATGGAGAAGAAGAGGAGGAGGCAGCTGGCTTCAGTGGCCAGGTGCTTGCTGGGGAGCTCGACAACTCTGGAAGTAGCATCCCAGACTTCCCCATGCACCTGGCCTGCCCTGAGGAGGAAGATGAGGCAGCAGCAGCAGAGATGGCAGTGCCGGCAGCTGGTGATGAGAGCATCTCCTCCCTGAGTGAGCTGGTGCGGGCCATGCACCCATACTGCCTGCCCAACCTTACCCACCTGACATCGCTTGAGGATGAGCTTCAGGAACAGCCAGATGACTTGACACTGCCTGAGGATTGTGTGGTTCTGGAGATTGTGGGCCAGGCTGCTGCAGCTGGTGATGACCTGGAGATCCCAGTTGTGGTGCGGCAGATCCCTACTGGGCCCCAGCCTGTGCTCCTGGATGACTCACTAGAGGCTACTCCAGCCTTGCAGTTGCTCATGCCCACACTGGAGTCCAAGATAGAGGCTACTGTGCCCAAGGAAGAGGAAAAACTGGAGTCAGCATGCTTGTTGGAACCCAGGGAAGTCATGGAGCCAGTGGTGCCCAAGGAGCCTCAAAACCCACCTGCCAACACAGTGCTGGGTTCCCAGAGAGCTCGAAAGGGCAGGAGGAAGAAGAGCAAAGAGCAGCCAGCAGCCTGTGCAGAAGGCTATGTCAGGAGGCTGAGGTCATCCTCTCGTGGTCAGTCTGCCGTGGCCTTGGAGGCCACCTCTCAGGCAGGCAACTTGCAGAAGCAGCCTCAGGAGGAACGTCAAAGAGAACTCGGGCCTCCCCGGGGTAGGGGGAAGCCTCGGGCCTGGGCTCGGGCCTGGGCGGCTGCCTTGGAAAAGCCCAGCTCTGAGAATGTGGAGAGTGATGCTGAACAAGCCAGCCCTGCTAAAGACAGGACTCCAGATCTCTGTCCTAAGCTGCTTGACACCATCCAAGCCAACTCGCTTCCAGCCTCTCTCTTGTTGGTTGGTTCTGCTCAAGCTGACCCCATGCCAGTTGACTCTGTTGAATCTGATCGCACTGCAGTTGAATCCATTCTAGCTGATCCTGCACCTGCATTGGTTGACCTTGCCTCAGCCAACTCAGTGCTGGCTGACCCTCTCCCGGCTGACGCAGTGCTGACTGACCCAGTCTTGTCTGACTCGGCAGCCATTGACCCTGCAGTGGTTGTTCCCATCTCAGATGACTTGCCACTGGTTGACCCTATACCAGCTAACCTAGCACCAGTTGACCTAGCACCAGTTGACCCTGTTGCTGATGACCTGGCTCCAGTTAAACCTGTGCTAGTTAAGCCCAGGCCAACTGATCCCAGGCGTGGTGCAGTGTCATCAGCCCAGGGGAGTCCAGCTCCCCAGCTTCTCTTGGAATCTGAGCCCACGGATCACTCAAAGTCCATCATCCCTGAAGTCAAGGAGGTTGTGGGTCCTCAGAAGGTGGAAAGTGGTACTAATGTCACAACCCAGGAAGCCAGACCTCGGCCTCTCAGCCTATCTGAGTACTGGCGACGAAGGCAGCAACGCCAAGCAGAGGCAGAAGAGAGGAGTCCCCAGCCTCCAGCTGGGAAGTGGCCTAGCCTCCCAGAGACCCCCACAGGGCTGGCAGATATCCCTTGTCTTGTCATTCCACCAGCTCGAGCCAAGAAGACAGCTCTGCAGAAAAGCCCTGAGGCTCCCCCTGAGACTCCCCCTGAGGCTTGTATTGTGCCTGTGGGTCTCAGCCCTGCTTCTCCCAGTCCTGAGCTATCTTCAAGCAAACCTGTGGCCTCAACTCCCACTGAGCAGGTGCCATCCCAAGAGATGCCACTGCCTGTAAGGCCTCTACCTCCTACTGTACAGACCACGTCTCCTGTCAGGCCCATGCCTCCCACAATGCCCACTTTGCCTTTTCCTTCAGGTGGGCTGGGCATGCCTCCCGTGCTGCCCCTTCCCTCAAGTGGGCAAGGGGTCCCCAGCCTGCCCCCACCACCTTTGCAGCCTCCTAGCCTTCCGATGTCTGTGGGGCCAGTGCCACCTGATCCCTATAGCCATTATGCTTCTATACCACCCTGGCCTTGTTATCCACCCGTGTCCCCTTCTGGATATCCTTGCTTGCCTCCACCCTCAACGGGACCCCTAGTATCTGGTACTCCTGGCATCTATGCTGTGCCCCCCACTTGCAGTGTGCCTTGGGTACCCCCTCCTGCCCCAGTCCCACCTTACAACTCCAGCTGTTCCTATGGGCCCTTGGGATGGGGCCCAGGGCCACAGCATCCTCCATTCTGGCCTAGTGTGCCTCCACCTCCATTGCCTGCAGCCTCTGTTGGGAGAGTTGTTCCTCCACCCAAGATGGAGCATAGTGGCTTCCCAGCTGGCCCTCCTGAAAATGTACTTCCTGTGCCTATGGCTCCTTCTGTCAGTCTTGGGCCTACTGGCCATGGAGTTCCACAGATAGAGCCCACCAAGGTGGAGGTCAACCCAGTGCCTGCATCTCCCCATCTGAAGCACAAGGTGTCTTCCCCAGTGCAAAGCCCCCAGATCAAGTCTCCACCATGTCTACCTGCTGAGGGTGTGGCTATTGAGGAGCTTGTGTCAGAGAGGCTAAAGCCTGAGACCCAGGAGAAGCCCCCCTCTCCTGCTGCCAAGGCTGTGCCAACACCAAGGCAGAGCACTGGCCCCAAGCTGCCTGCTGTCCACCCAGCCCGTCTAAGGAAGCTATCTTTCCTGCCCCCCCCACGTACCCAGGGCCCTGAGGACGTGGTACAGGCTTTCATCAGTGAGATTGGTGAGTGCCACACAGTTCAGTTGGTGTGAAAAAGTGCTCAGGTTGGGTGGGGAGTGATTTCCACAGAACAGGGTAAACCACTTCAGTGGGCCTTAGGTGGACTTCCTTAGAAGGTTTCCAGGAGGCAGAGCTCTGAGTTTGTTTGCATCTTTCCTGCTTTGTGCTACTGCCCTGGTCTAACTTAGTACATTGGGCAGGGAGAGCATAAAGGGAGAAATGAGATGATTTAGGACTTCCTGAGACCTGCGTACTTAGACTTGGTAGGGACTGGTTTCCAATCCTGTCTTGTGTGCCTCCACAGGAATTGAGGCGTCGGACCTGTCCAGTCTGCTGGAGCAGTTTGAGAAGTCAGAAGGTGAGGGAACCTGGGTAGCTTCACTCCAGTCCCTTTTTGCTGCTGCTTCTTTTGGGCCCATCCCTCTAGTTGCTTAAACTGGGGTGGGGAGAGGAACGTCCTCAGCCACTAGAGCAGCCCCTTACTGGAATAGGGAGATAAGATTCGCCTGTGATATAATCTAAGCTCAAATGGGTTGGGGTTGTTTGGGGACATCTTTCTAGAGGGAAGTAGCTCTCATTTTGGGTCGCAAAACCAAACCCTGTTGCCGTTGAGTCGATTGAGAGTCATAGTGACCCTATAGGACAGAATAGAACTGCCCCATACAGTTTCCAAGGAGCGCCTGATGGATTCAGACTGCCAACCTTTTGGTTAACAGCCATAGCGCTTAACCACTAAGGTTTCAAAAAACAAGTAGAATTTCCAAGAGAACGTGTGTCTGGTGAATAAAGGCTGAGTGCCTAGAAGGATCATGTGTGCTCTATTTGGAAGGCAGTGAATACCTCAGCTTTCGAGGTACAAGGCATGGTTCTAGATGTTGTGAAGGAAGGATACTGTGTCTTGTTCTCAAGAAGCCTGTGGTCTAATTGGGGAGAAAAATCTGCAGAATTGACAACTGAGTTGGTAACAGATTTCTAGAGTACAAAGCAAAATACAAATGTAGGACAAAAGTAGGCTGTGAGGCTAGGAAGTTAGTTAGGCAGATCATGTAGAACTTCGAATGCTAAGCTTAAGAATCTGTCTCAAATTCAGTGAGGAGTGTGGGTGTTTCTGAGCAGAGGAGAGACATGATTAAAAATAGTACCTGGGCATCTACTGAAGGAGAATGGATCTCTCTAGGGAGAGCCCAACAGAGAATATGCGGGCAAAATGGATGTTCCTCCTTTGGGTCTCCAAGCCAGCCATTCTGCCCCTCAGTCTGGAACATCTGGTTGGGCTTTTAACTAGTATGGTTTCTTTGCAGCCAAAAAGGAGTGCCCTCCCCTGGCTCCTGCTGACAGCTTGGCTGTAGGAAACTCAGGGTAAGTATGGAGACATGTGAGCGAGTTACCCTACAGCTGTTGGTCAGCAGCCAGCCGGCGTTCCAGGACCATTGACTGGAGGCCTCTGTTGTAAGGACATTCAGTCTGCTCTGGAGGCTTTCCCCCTTTTTTACCCATCCCCCCACTCTGCCCAGGAATGCTGGGCATTGTCTTGGGTGGTGAGGTGGGAGGGTGTGTACCACCCTCCAGCTCATTCCAGTCTGGGGATCCAAATGCCCTTGAGGTGCCTTTTATCATCTTCTGGCAGGTCATGCCTTTGGTGATTTCTTTCCTTCATTTAATAAACTTTAAGCTTGCTCAGCGCTGATGAAGATGTAAGAGGAAGTGGGGGGGAGGTGGTCAGGACTAGGTCTTCCATGGCTCCTTGGATGACACAGTTGTCATGGACACCTTGCTCCCCAGTACACTGAAAGGCCTTTTTTCTTCATGTTCATGGCACCTCATCCTGTTCTCCAAGCTTGTTCCCCTCCACATTGTTCTCGGGTTGGTTTGAGCTGGGCAGGCGAGGCTCCTGGCTTGAAGGAGTTGTGGGGTGTTCAGAGTCATGGCTAGCCTACCTCCTAGAATCAGGCCAAGCTGAGTTGAGACCAACCTACAGTTTAGTCATTGTGACCCCTTTTGTGCTGGAGGAGAATGATGGGAGGAGTTGGTACATCCCATTCCTCTCTGCACTCACCTGTCCCATTGCTGTGAGGAGAGCAGATATACAAGATGTTGAGGAGGCAATGAACCAGGCTTTCCCTTTTCCCCCGCCAGCAGCGTTGACACTCCCCAGGAGAAGAGGCCCCTAGACCGGTTACAAGCCCCAGAACTGGCCAACGTGGCAGGTGCGTTCAGGGTGGGGAACTCTGCCTTTGACTAGTTCATGCAGCAGATGTTTTCAGAGCCTACTCAGCACCAACTGTGTAGGTGTTGAGGATACAGATATCTCCGTCCTTGAGGTGTTCACAGTCTAGGGACCAGATGTGTAAACAAATGAGCATGTTGAGTGTCAGAGGTGGTGTGTTAAAGAAGACTGGTTCACAGTGGTGACAGAAGGGAGCAGTTGGGGAAGGATTATATAGAAGGTAATCACCCAAAGTGAGGCTTAAGAAAGTCACAGATATTAGGTTGAATTAGGGGACGGGGCATTCTAGATAGAGCGAGCAGGTTGAGTGAGCTGACAAAGTGAAAACAGCCTAGTGTGTTTTGGGGGTTTGTGAATGGTTCAGTATGGCTGGAGGAGTACAGTGGCTCATCAGGTGGTGGGCAGAGCTAAAGCAAGAGGTGAAGCTGGAGTGGCAAATAGGTCAGTTATGGGAACTCTGAATGCCTTGTTAATTTGTTTAGATTTTATTCTTTGCATGGTAAGAAGCAATTGAAAAAGCTTTATCAGGTTGGTTTTTGGGAGCTCCCTCTGGCAGGAATATAGACAATAGGTGGATGGATATGAGACCAGAGGTGGTAGGGAGATCATTGGAAGATTATTGCATGAGTTCAGGAAAGATGCAGTCCAGAAGTTGGGCAGTCCTGGGTGGAGGGGGCAGAGCTAAGAATGGAGAGGTAGACTGGACAGGACCTGGTCACCAGCTAGGATTGGGTAGTGAGAGGATGAAGTGTTCAAAGGGACCCTAGCTGGCTGGGTTGTCTATTGCTGGTCCCTGATATGGGGAACACAGGAAAGAGCAGTTGCAGCAGTGGAAGAAGTTGGGCTGTTAATCATGCTTGGTGTACTTTCTGAGACGAAGTGGGGGTCTCTGGATCCTCTATGCGCAGTATTTGGAAATACAGAATGAGATCTCACCCTGCTATCTCCATCCTCCCTCCCCACACAGGGCTCACCCCTCCAGCTACCCCTCCCCACCAGTTATGGAAGCCCCTGGCTGCTGTCTCACTGCTGGCCAAAGCCAAATCTCCTAAATCCACCGCCCAGGAGGGAACCCTGAAGCCTGAAGGAGTTACAGAGGCCAAACATCCAGCTGCAGCCCGCCTCCAGGAAGGGGTCCATGGCCCTAGTCCAGTCCATGTGGGCTCTGGGGACCATGACTATTGTGTCCGGAGCAGGACCCCCCCAAAAAAGACGCCTGCCTTAGTCATTCCAGAGGTGGGCTCCCGATGGAACGTCAAACGCCATCAGGATATCACCATCAAGCCCGTGTTGTCCCTGGGCCCAGCCGTCCCCCTGCCCCCATGCACAGTTGCCTCCAAGGAGCCGCTTGATCACAGGACTAGCAATGAGCAGGCAGATCCCCCAGCCCCTTGCCTTGCCCCATCTGCCTTGCTGTCACCTGAGGCCTCGCCCTGCCGGAATGACATGAACAGTAGGACTCCCCCTGCATCCTCAGCCAAGCAGCGGTCAATGCGCTGTTATCGAAAAGCCTGCAGGTCAGCCAGCCCCCCAAGCCGGGGCTGGCAGGGCCGTCGCGGCCGCAGCAGCCATTCTGTCAGCTCTGGGTCCAACGGGACCAGCGAAGCATCTTCCTCCTCATCCTCATCGTCGTCTTCCTCATCCCGTTCTCGGTCCAGGTCCCTCTCCCCCCCACACAAGAGGTGGCGAAGGTGAGCTCTGGTGGCCTGTCAGGTCCTGCGTTTAGGAGCTTCATGAACTTCTCTCTGTGGTTTCCTTTGAAAGCTCTTGCACATTAAGTTTGATACTTTCAGGCACTAAGGTTTCTATTTCTGTCTTTGGCTTTTGTCTTCTCTTTTCCTGGATTGTTGAAGGAGACAAGCTGTGGGAAGAAAGTGTCTATCCCCTGTTGGAGTTTAGGGTATCCCTGAGGTCCCCTGCTTCCTTGAGATCTGCCTTGGGGAAACTCTTACAGTTTGACCTTGACCATGTTGATTCCCTCACTATATTGGTTCTCATTTATGGTGTTTTCCTGGTGATATGTGGGAAGGTGAGATAGTGGGTTATTAACTGGAAATAGTCCTTCCCTGATCATCTATTGAGGAAAGAGTCTGAGGCAGTTCCTTTGGGTATCACTGTGGCCTTGTCTATTTCCTGGGAGTATCTTTACTCTTAATGATGGACCCAAATTTTTGCACTTAATGAACAATTCTTGGTTTTTGACAGTGGTGGATACTTTCAGAAATGGCCCCTGCACAGATCTAGCATAGTCTCCTCCCCTTTATGCCATGGTCACAGCAGTCCTGTGAGTAACGGGAAGGGAGCAGTAGGCCTTAGAAGCACAGATAGCGAGCCTTGAGACCTAGGGCCCAGCCCTTATTACCTCTGGGTCTTTTATCTATTTTTCTCCTTTCTGATTGTTAAATATTTTTCAGTTTTTAATTGCACAATTGAAAATAACTATGATATTTGCCAAAACATTCCAGATATGTGTAAAGTTCCTGTGAAGGGCCTCAGTTTGTTCTTCTGTGAAGAAAAGTGCTCTTCTAGACATCTTTTTCTCTGCTTTGCCTCTAGTCCTGAGCCTCCTGACAGGGAGGCAGGGCTGGGGCCAGGGTGAGGTAAGTGGAGTATACCTGCACTACTCCTAGCATTCCTGCATGCCCCTTTATTCTCCAGGTCCAGCTGCAGTTCCTCTGGGCGTTCCCGAAGATGCTCTTCCTCTTCCTCCTCCTCATCATCCTCTTCGTCTTCCTCATCCTCCTCATCCAGTTCTCGCAGCCGATCCCGTTCCCCATCCCCCCGCCGGAGAAGTGACAGGAGGCGGCGGTGAGCACGTGTTTAGGGAGGCAGTGTACCTGGGACGCAGGCACCTGAGAGTTCTGAGTCTTGGGTTGTTTTGTGTCTGGGGAGCTGATGGCACCTTCTCCTGTCAGGTACGGCTCTTACCGTTCGAATGACCATTACCAAAGGCAGAGAGTGCTGCAGAAGGAGCGTGCAATAGTGAGTAGAGGGACAGGTCATGGGAGGAGGAGCTTCCCCGAGCCATCAGCTCAAAGAGCTGACTGCAGTTGTGGTCCTGGCTCATGGTGGGCCTATTTTCCTTGCTGCAACATAGGAAGAGAGAAGGGTGGTCTTTATCGGGAAGATACCTGGCCGCATGACGCGGTCAGAGCTGAAACAGAGGTTCTCGGTTTTTGGAGAGATTGAGGAGTGCACCATCCACTTCCGTGTCCAGGGGTAAGCTTGGGCCCAAGGGTATCCCTTCTGCCCCATTCACTCTACTTTGATGCTTCTTTGTCTTTCCTCCTTGCTTTGGTGTGCTAGGCAATGTAGAACACCTTCGTTTCTACAATCAGAGGGTTGGCCATTTAGGGAATGGGAAGAAGCACCCCAGACCTTCTTTGTGCCCTGAGGTGCTGCCACCTCTCCATGGTATTTGCCCAAATGGCCATCCCAGCCCCTGCCTCACCCTCCTTACCAGTGACAACTACGGGTTCGTCACTTACCGCTATGCCGAGGAGGCATTTGCAGCCATTGAGAGTGGCCACAAGCTGCGGCAGGCAGACGAACAGCCTTTTGATCTCTGCTTTGGGGGCCGCAGGCAGTTCTGCAAGAGGAGCTATTCTGATCTTGGTGAGTAGAGGGAGGGTCTGAGGTTTTGGCATATTTCATCTCCTCCCTAGAAGGCCTCCCGATTCTTTGAGTGTGGGGCTAGGCACACTTACCTTCATCAGACATACAAAGAACCTAAGGGATGGGATGAGAGGAAAAATGGGGCTCTCCTGTGTCTCTTTGACTTAAAATCAGGGCAGTTTTAGCTCATTATTAGGATGGGAGGTGGCTAGCCATTTGAGGACCCTGTGGTTGGGAAGTGGTGGTCAGAGACCTCTGAACCTTGACGTTTGGTCTTTCTTCATAGACTCCAACCGGGAAGACTTTGACCCTGCCCCTGTAAAGAGCAAATTCGATTCTCTTGACTTTGACACATTGTTGAAACAGGCCCAGAAGAACCTCCGGAGGTAACCCTGGGCTCTCCTCCCCCCCTTATCTTTGGAGGTGCCCAATCTCCTTCATCCCCCTCCCCCGATCGAGGGGAGAGAGCTGCTAGTGAAGAGATGACTGTTTTATAAAGAAATGGAAAAAAGTGAAATAAAAAAACGTGTAAAATCAGATTTTTTAAAAGGGTATTTGTTTTTTATAACAGGTATTGAAACAAGATAACTTGCATTCCTCTGTGAGATGGTTGGGGGCTGAGGGGTTCCCCCAGTATTTGGAACGTCTAAGTCACTATGCAGACTAATAAACATGAACTAGAGAGAACTCCCAAGTGTGACTGTGCTATTTTCTATGGTGCTACTGCCAAACATATTCACTGAACACTCTGAACATAATCGGGGACATGCTTACGCCATTAAGTTCCTAGGACCTCTCTAGTCAGGTGCGAAATTCCATTGGGCTTAAAACTTGACTCCTCAAGTGTGTTTATGAAATCAGTCATCTAGGGCAGTGCATCTCACACTTTAAAGGGCATTTTAATCATCTGGAGATTTTTTAGAATGCAGATTCTGACTTTGTCCTTCTGGAATTGGGCCTGAGGTTCTGCATTTCTAACAAGGGGGTATTGTTCCACCAAGGATGTAGGGGAAGCTTACACTTGTTCAAAATAAAGGTTCTCTAAACTGGGAGTCTATGTTCAAGCACTGTCTTTAGTTTTGTTCACCATTTTAGCTTGAGCGCAATTCTTGGCACACAGCAGGCAGTCAGATGTTTAAAGAGTGCATATGTGTGGATAGATGGGGCCACCTTCTCTCTGGGGAAGAGGGAGCTGCTAAAGAGTTATGTCTATATGGCAGAAATTGGAATTTCCTTGGCAGACCTGAGCATTGATACAGGGCTTACTCATGACAAAGGGAGGGATTGCCTAGTTCTCCCATAGAGAGTTTACAGTGTGATCTCAGAGGTTTACTTTCAGGACTAGGAGTTGAAGGGATTGCTTTCATTCAGAGTTTTGGTGCACTACCCTTTTTCCTAAGGCTGAAAAATTTGGGGGAGAGAGGCTTATGTGTTACGAATCTGTGAGAAGTGCAGGGCAAGTGATGACGGGCAGTTTTGGGGATCAACACCTTCACCACCATGGATAACTTGAAGGACCTCCGCTGCGGAGATGGGCGGCTGGAGTGGTATCTGAGAAAGGGCCTCCCTGGGTGCTGGAGACAGTGAAGATGAAGAGTGAGAATCCACCTGTAACGAGGATGGGGGCTGTTGGGAAGTCTTGTAACCAAGTCTAGAAAGTAGGACAAGTCGAGCTGGCCATTCCACTCATTACTCTGGAATCCCAGCTGTGGCGCGGGAATTTGCTCTGAAAAAAGGACCTCCAGCAGAACGGCAACGCGCGGGAAGCCCAGAGATTTCCCGCCACCGCTGAGGGCGTGACTCCTGACGTCAGGGCTCCGATTTCACAAAGTGACGGCCGACAGGCTCCGCCTTTACCAAGAAGGCGACACGCGCAGGACCGGAAGAAACTTGCAGACTCCGCCTTGACTCTGCCTCCGAGGTGGAGGTGGGACTGCGCCATAGAACACCACTCTTCCGGTATGCGCCCGCGCGGCGCAATGACGTCACGCGAGCCCTCCTTCTTGGGTTCCTGAGTCCCTAAATCGTGCTGCGTCGGCAACCGTAGTGACGCGTGTGGCCCGGAGGATGGCGGACGCCGGCTTTCGCCGCGTGGTTCCTAGCGACCTGTATCCCCTAGTGCTCGGCTTCTTGCGCGACAACCAACTGTCAGAGGTGGCTAACAAGTTCGCCAAGGCGACAGGCGCTGTGAGTCCCGGGCCTGGGGCGCGGGCTGGGGAGGGATGACCACAAAGCTGTGGGCCCTGACAGGCTTAGGGTTCCGGGTAGGGAGGTATGTGGGATCCGCCAGGCGCGTGTCTGCGGGGTCTTTGTGCCGAGCTCTCGGCGGTGACCGGGGAAAGTCCAAAGTCTCGGCGTCTTCTCTTTCACGAGGTTTGACAAGATAGCCCTGAGAGTCTTTTTACATCTTCCTGGTCAGTCGTGCAGTGGCGGCAGCGTGGGACCCGCGTGGTCCAGGTCACGTGGGCTGGCGGAGTGCTCCAGGAGGGAGCATCGTGCCCAAGGGTATTGGCTGTGCCTGATTCCTTTTAGGCTTTTCGTTGGCTGAGGCAAAGCGTGAGTTGACCTCTCAGTCGCGATTATCCGAGACTTAAAAACGAGTGAAATTGCTTCAGAAATGAAGTAAGGGATTTTTGTTAGTAAAGAAAATGAACGAGAGTAGAGGCAGGGTTCTGCATTTAGTGATACTGAAACAAAGAGTAAGCATCATGGCCCTACCAAGCAGGCATAGCAGTGGGCTTAGAGTTTTGGTTTATGGAATCAAAACTAGGTTTAAGACCAGGCCCAGAGACCCAAGCAGTTTGCTTAACCTCTCTGAGTATTTGTACTTCTACATCATCCACTTTATAGAATTTTTGTGAGTTTCAGCAAGATGATATATACAAAGTGGCAATCCTGGTGTCTGATGTACAGGAAGCATCAATGAGTAAAAACTGTTAGTTATGGTAGCTTAGATGCTTCAAACACATGTAGAAGAAAGATGACCAGGAATATGATAGGTTTGGAATCCACATCTCAATGAAAACAGACAGAGCTGCATGGGAAAACCCCTGCAGAGAAGGGTAGAGAAGTGGTCTTCAGCCTGTTTAATAACATGACTAAGAAGGTAGGCTTGTTTTTTGTAGCAGAATCAGTCCTTGAAAGGAAGTGATTAGATCAGCCTCAGAAAGATCTTCCTTAAGCTGAGACAACCTGCCCTGTAAGCTGATAGAACTGTTTTTTTTTTTATTGGAACGATTTTGAATTGACTGTTAGGGAAACTGCAGAAAGTGTTTCCATAATGGGTTGGATCAAGTTGGGTCTTTCAGAGTTAGAATTCTTTGGTTTTATGAGACAAAAACTATTATTTGTGGAGAGTTTACTAAGGTTCAGATGTCAGTCCTTCTACATGCGTTATCTCTTATCCTATCAACAACTTAATGAGATGTGTAGTAGTATTTCCATTTTATAGAGAAGAAAACATTCAGATTAAGTTCTAGCCTGTCCTGTAGGGTCGCTATGAGTCAAAATTGACTTGACTGGCGATGAGGGTTTTTTTTTTTTTTTTAAATCAGTATTATTAACAGCTGAATGCCATTCTATACTATGTCTGTGATGTAGCTTATTTTTTTATTTCCTTTGGAGTCTTGTTTCCTGTGATATGGTAGTACAAACCACGTTGCAGTAAACACTCTCGTATAAATATTTGTGTCTTGTTTTATGAGTAAAGATAAATTCGTAGATAACACATTGCTAGAGTGAAAAGAACGCATGTTTTTTAATGTTTTGATAATCATGGATAAGTAGATGGAGGTAGATGGTGCCACAAACCACAGGAATGGCCCAAGTTTTTGGTACCAAAAAATGGGGGAATACACAAATGGAATGTTTTTTTCTTAATTTGTGCAAATAGGAGAAATCTTATGAAGGTGTAACGTTTACACCAAATTTAGTTACAGGATTATTAGTAGGTAACATCTAAAGAATAAAGCAACATGTGATCTCCTGTAGAATAACTAGTATAAAACTTCTTTACCTGGCTCTTTCTCTTTTCTCCTACAGACCTGTCAGGATGCCAATGCATCTTCCCTCTTGGACATCTATAGTTTCTGGCTCAAGTAAGCCTTCCCTGTTCCACATTGTCTTTATGCTCCCTCTGGGTAGTCTGGGCTGTGTTCCTTGGTTTGGGAAGGTCCTGATGCCCCAGAAGTTAGCATCATCTGCTTTAACAGGTCCTCCAAGGCCCCAAAGCGAAAGTTACAGGCAAACGGGCCAGTAGTTCAGAAGGCTAAGAAGAAGACTTCATCCAGTGACAGCAGTGAGGACAACAGTGAGGAGGAAAAAACCGAAGTGCCTCCAGTTAAAAAGGCTGGTAAGGCAGGGCAGGGGGCTTAGGGTCGTGGTTCCAGGAAAAGGATTTGTAGTCAGTCTGTACCACATGGCTAACTCTACTGGTTCCTGTGCTGTTGTTCAACAATAGCTGCCAAGCGGGCTAGTCTTCCTCAGCATCCTGGAAAGGCTGCAGCCAAAGCCTCAGAGAGCAGCAGCAGTGAAGAATCCAGTGATGATGAGGAGGGGGAAGAGGACAAAAAGAAAAAGCCTGTCCAGGTTTGCAGCTTTGGGAAAGGAAGGGGTTGCTTATGGAATTGGGAAAAAAAGAAACCTAAATTCTTGACTTCTAGCTTCTGACCCAAGGGTGGTGGTGGGTGTGGGACAGGTGACTGTGGAGAAGAAAATCTGGGGACATTTTGGGAGGTAATAGAAGTAAGTATGAGGTCTGGAAGGGATATATGAAGATGAAGTTGGGCTTCAAATCTAAAGAAATTTCAACCCATTTCGCTTCTCTGGTTCACTGTGTCTGGGGCTCTGACAGTAAGAGAGAGAGCATTTTTAGATGGGTACTGGGAACTCAGCAGGAACAGAACCAATACATCAAGTGGCTGAACTTTTTGCTTCTCATTGACAGTTGATTGCCGTTTTCATTTGCTGTTCCGCTCAGGTTTCCCTCTCTCTTGCTGCTCCATTATCCCCTAAAAAATAAAAGGAGCCTAGAAAGCCTTCTACACTAGGATGCCCTTTGAGTACCCAGAAGCTCTTGCTGATTCCCCTCCTCGTGTGTTTTCTAACAGAAAGGAGTTAAGCCCCAAGCCAAGGCAGCCAAAGCCTCCCCCAAGAAAGCTGAGAGTTCTGGTTCTGACTCGAGCTCAGAGGATGAGGCACCAAAGAACCAGAAGCCAAAGACAACATCTGTGACAGCTAAAGCTCAGGCTAAAGCCCCAGCCAAAGCAGGTATAGTTTCTCTAAGAGGCTGGGCTAGGGACTGGGCTGCTCTGGGAAAAAGTAGGCTACAGTTGTCACAGCAAAGAAAAATGTGTTTTTTAAAAAAACGGTACCTGTTTGGCATTCTTTTAGTTGTATTTCAAAGATATTTTATGTTCCCACAAATCCCATTCCACTGGGACCTCTTACACATCTGTTCTTTGTGCTCTTCGGTGCTGTTTTTATCCCCCTGCCCCTTTATTCCACAGGATGATTGAGAATTTTTTTTCTTCTGTAATTTCTCCGTGTTGGAGGTTAGCTTGTGATTTACAGAGCTCCTCTGACCGGAATTGGGCATAGAGGACTTCAGAGGACATATTTAAATTATTTGTATCATACTTCTTTTTTCCTTTAGGAAGTTTTATTCATGAAGTTCGATGAAAAGTCATTCTTTGACACAGTAAACCATGGCAGTCTCCTTCATGGCTGCTCCAAAGACAAGAATCAATAGACTCCTAAGTTCTGAGCGAATAGGAAGGAGGGTTTTCATGGCCTCTGCCTTGCCTTGTTATTCCTTACACTTTTTTTTCCTCTAGGAATGCCAGTTCAAGCAACACCTAAAGTAGCCAATGGCAAAGCAGCTAGCAGTAATAGCAGCAGCAGCAGCAGTAGTAGTAGTGATGACTCGGAAGACGAGAATGCAGCAGCCATCTCTAAGAAGGTCTACACCTGACTTTCCAGAGAAGTGGTGTCAGGGTCGGGGGGTGCTCGACTGTGTTCCCCAGCAGGATTGGTTGGGTCAGCATTTTCCTGGGGTAATTGATTTTCTCTCTGACGCAGACTGTACCTAAAAAACAAATTGTGGCCAAGCCTCCAGTGAAAGCCTCCGCTGCCTCTGCCCAGAACAGTTCCAGTAGTGAGGATTCCTCTAGTGAGGAGGAGGAGGAGCAGAAGAAACCCATAAAGAAAAAACCAGGTGACTGGACATGGGGAGTCAAGCTGCATGACTATAGCCAGGGCCCAATTGCTAGAGAACCTCGGCAGTCACCATGTGGACTTCTCCATAGAGCTGCTGGAGTGTCCCCATGACGTGACAGCTGGCTTTTCTCAGAGCAAGTGATCTAAGAAAGAGCAAAGAAGTCACAATGGTTTTTAAGACCCAGTCTCTGATCCACTGCCATTTCTGCTGTGGCCTGTGTGTTAGAAGCGAGTTGTTAATTCTAACCCACACTCAAGGGAAGGGGAGTTAAGCATCACCGCTAGAAGGGAGTAGTAGCAAAGAATTTGTGGACACATTTTTAAACTACCACAGTATTCCTCTTAAACAGGTCCCTACAGTTCAGTCCCCCCACCTTCTGCTCCTTTACCAAAGAAGACCCTGGGGATCCAGCCTCCCAAGAAAGCTGCAGAGAAGAAACAGCCTGAGGAAAGCAGTGAGGACAGCAGCGATGAGTCTGGTGAGTCTGAGGGTTGCAACATCCCCCTGAAAATGGATCAGCGGGGAGGGCATGAGCAATCAGGAAGGGAGATATGCTTTTGTCCCTCTCTTGCTTTTTACCAAAGCAAGACAGAGCTAAGGCTCAGGATGCGTTTTCACATCCTCCTTTCTATGGCTCTTCTGGTTGGATGGTAGCTCTGGGCCCAGTAAAATGTCACAGGTTCTCCCCAGATTCAAGCTCTGAGGAAGAGAAGAAACCCCCAGCTAAAGCAGTCATCTGTAAAGCAACCCCTAAACCAGCTCCAGGAAAGAAAGCAGCAGAGAGTTCTTCAGACAGCTCAGGTAAGACAGGTGGAGGCCCTCGGCATGGGATACTCCCTTGGGCGGCTGCCACAAGGACCTCATTGAATCTGCTTTGGGGAGCTGCTCATTCTGCTCCCTCTGTGTCTAGACTCTGACAGCTCTGAGGATGAAGCTCCTGCCAAGCCAGCCAGTACCACCAAAAGTCCCTCAAGTAAGCCAGTTGCCATTACCAAACAGCCTGCAGCGAAACCGGCTGCAGCTCCCAAGCAACCTGTAGGCGGTGGCCAGAAGCCTCTGCCCAGAAAGGCCGATAGCAGCTCCAGTGAGGAGGAGAGCAGTTCTAGTGAGGAGGAGGAGAAGATGACAAAGAAGACTGTGGCCACACCTAAGTCCAAGGTGATGGCCAAAGCACCTTCATCTCTGCCTGCCAAACAGACTCCTCAGGGAGGTGGGGATAGCAGCTCTGATTCTGACAGCTCCAGCAGTGAGGAGGAGGAGGAAGAGAAGACATCTAAACCCCCCGTTAAAAGGAAGCTGCAGAAGGCAGCAGGAACTGTAACTCCTTCCAAGCCAGCCTCCAAAAAGAAAGTAAAGGCTGAGAGCAGCAGTAGTTCTTCCTCTGGTGACTCCAGTGAGGAGGAAGAGGCGAAGCCCAAGGCTAAGGCCACTCCAAAACCACAAACTCCCAAGGTCAATGGTACTTCTGCACTGACTGCCCAGAATGGAAAAGCAGGCAGAGACAACAGTGAGGAGGAGGATGGAGTGGCAGTTTCCAAGCCAGGTCTGTATCCAAAGAACCTGCCCTCTGGGTTTTACCCCCCAGAATCAGGATGGGATATAGTCTTGGGGCTTGGGATAGGGAGAGGAGACTCACCACTAAGCTTCTAGATGCAGGCCTTCAGCATGGGACACTGAGAGGAAGAGAGGAAACTTGTCTCCACTGAGTCTAGCTTTCTGTTTTGTTGGTTCAGGAAAGAAGCGGAAGCAGAATGAGGCTGCCAAGGAGGCAGAGACTCCTCAAGTCAAAAAGCCTAAGCTCCAGACCCCCAACACATTTCCAAAGAGGAAGAAAGTAAGTTGTCTCAGTTTCCTCTCAGAAGCCAGCCCCGTAAGAGTGGAAAGAAAAATCTGGGGCTCATCTTGACAGCCCTCTGCCTGGCCTGGCACACGTGCACGTGTGTGTAGCTCAGGAGGGCTCTTAATTTCCTACTTCTCTTCTTTAGGGTGAGAAAAGGGCATCATCCCCATTCCGAAGAGTCAAGGAAGAGGAAATTGAGGTGGATGCACGAATGGCAGACAACTCCTTTGATGCCAAGGTGAGGGGAGAGAGGGTGTTGTTGACTCTTCAGGGCGATGCGGTGGGAAAGAGGGCAGCTTTTGGTTCGGGTTGGTGGGCAGCTCTCTGGGATCAGGTTCCCTTGAGCAGGTGTAGAATGAGAAGAAGCAACAGGGACCTGGTGTTGGGCTTCTGTGTGGTGACCACCTCTTTCTATCTACCAGCGAGGTGCAGCCGGAGACTGGGGGGAACGAGCCAATCAGGTTCTGAAGTTCACCAAAGGCAAATCCTTCCGGCATGAGAAAACCAAGAAGAAACGGGGTAGCTACCGGGGAGGCGCCATCTCCATCCAGGTCAATTCCGTTAAGTTTGACAGCGAATGACTTGGGATCATCTGTGTTGAAGCAGAGGTGATGCTCCAGGACCACCTACTTTCCCCAGTGGACCTGGAACCTTCGGCTCTCTTCGGGGAAGGTCTGGGTAAAGACAGCAGTTTAGACTAGATATTAAGATTTTGCAGCGTTTAACATCCTCTGTGGTCCTTTTCTGTGTTCCTAGTTTTGTACAGATTTGGTTTTGAGTGTTGAGTAGCAGGAGCATGCTAAGGGGGGGTGTTAATTTTTAAGAAAATTTGTTTTGATTTTCATCCGTTTCTGCCTGTACTGTGGAAGTCCTCATACTGAGAAATTTGTATATTTTGTATTAAATCACTTCTTACTGATTTTTGTTGTAATTTTCAGAGGCGGGTTCCCACAGATTAAATTTTGGCTATTGCCCAAGATGTAATAAAGGTCGCATGTATGGGTTTTTATAATCTACTTGAAGGAGATTTCTGCCTATGTGATTCACGTTTCATCCTTCCTACCCCTCACAGCCCTGGTGAGGGGCACTTAAAGAATGACTTGTTTATACGTGTGTGTCTGTCACGCATGCACTGTGTAGTTCATTCTCCTTCATTGGTTCTGGGACTGAAGTTTTCAGTCAGCATGGACCTATCTACTTTTGGGGGATAAAATTCACTGTTTTGTTACAGGTAAAATTCTGGTGTGGTGTGAATGCCATGGCTCAGTCTGGACATTTTGTTGTCTGTAATTTTATCACTATTACATAATACTTGTAATACATATTTTTGGGTTCTTTTTTTCTTTTGGAAGCACAAGCTTTTTTCTGTTGAAAGGTTATTTTGATGACCCTTACTACTGTAGAGTACTAGGTTCTTAAATATTATAGTTTAGATCACTGATTCCCAGAGAAGCTTTCAAAACATTGAGGACTGCATTTTCTTATTTTTTTACTTTTAGAGAACAAAATAACATTAATTTATTCTGAAAAACACGTTATCACTTGGTATTTATGTCTTGGTAGCAGTCATGACATAAAATTGGTTTTATTGACTCTGAAATGGTTGGGAATCACTGATCAAGAAAGTGGGGGTGGAGGGGAACAACCCAACTATCTTTACTTAGAAGTCTAAATCCTCAGTAGGAATTAGGTTACATTAGGTGAGTTTATAAGCAACCTATGTATGTGCTAGTGGAGGTGGAAGTTACCTTTATAGAAGCATATTAGCTGGTAAAATGAGTATAGTGGGATTCAAAGAGCATTCTAACAGGATTATTGTGTCTGGTAGTTGGTACATAGGAGCAATTGATGTGCCCCCTTAAGAACCTAAAATGTCAGTAACATTGGGCTTAACAGTAACAACCAGTGAGCAGAGATAATGACACCTAGGGCAAGCTGGCTGAGTGTACAGCTGTAAGAGGTGGTTGGCAGTGCTCATTCAACAAGCGAGGAGGGAAGAGTCAGCAAGCTTTGTGGAGGCTGGGTTGTCCCTGTGGTGGGAAAGTGTGTCCCAAGATCTCAAGGATGAGATGTAGATCTTCAGGTTAACCTCCCTTTGTTTGGATTCCACGCTTACTAACCCGATGATAACTTGGTTGTCCATGAAACTGCCTTTAGGAAGAAGATGCACTGCTCATGCTGACATAGTTATTTCAGTCTGCATGGTGAAAATTACACGTCTTACTATGACATAATAAACAAGCTGGTTTATAATGTGTCTTTGGGAGTATTATTGCAAGTGAGTCCACACCCTTCCTGCCTCCCACCAAAGTAGGGCAGCTCGGCTCCCGGTTTGAGGACTGGGGTCTAGATCTGGGGAGTTCACTGCAGAGGCTTCTTGGCAGGAGCTTGCTGGCTTTAATGGGCAGCACTTTGTCTCATGGTGTCTTCCAGGCAATATTCCAGTCTGTGCATAGTCTGAATTGGGAGTTGGCGCAAGACATATTTTGTATTGCCTAGGAGCTAAGAATGATTTTTACATATTTAAAGGGATTGGGGGGTGGGGAAGGGCGACAGAGGCCTTATGTGGCCCACAAAGCCTAAAATATTTGCTTTCTGGCCCTTTTCAGAAAAAGTTTGCCATCCCTTGGTCTAAATCAGTGCTTCATGATACTGGCTGCAAATTAGAATCATCTGGGGGAATTTTAAAAAACACTGATACCCAGGGTCTGATCCCCAGGCCAGTTGACTTGTGCTCTCTGATGGGACCTGGGTGTTAGTATTCCTTGAAGCAGACAGGTGATTCTAATGAGCAACTGGTGTTGAAAACTGCTAGTTGGAAGAGTATTTGAAAAGAAATGAATGATAGTGCCCCCACTCCCCGCCATGTTTCTATTTTCAAATGTACTTGTTACATTTAATTATACAAAAGTGGACATTAGATTTTCTTCTCATCTTAGTCCTGTTTCCTGGAGCCTGTTTCTTGTGTCTCCTTCTGGAGAGAGCACCTAAGTACGCACTACTATGTGTATGTGTATCCCTCCCACCTTTTTCCTTTCACAAATGGTAGTTTGCTGTGTACCCTGTTCTATAACTTTTGGAGCTCATTTCATAGCAGAACACAACTCATTTTTAATGACTGCGTGGTACTCCACTGTATGGAAGTAGCAGAAGTTCTTTAAACTAGTGCTTTATTGGTAGATGGTTCAGTATATATGTGGATATTTTTGCAGGAAAAATTCCTAAAAGTCATTGCTGGCTCAACAGGATATATAGCGTTTGGCATTTGGTCAATATAGCTCTTCAGATAACTGATGTGCAGTTCCAGCAATAATTTATGAAAGTGCCCCTTGTTAACACCATTACCAAATTGATCTTTGGCACTTGGATAAATGGAAATACTATCTCAATGTTGTTTACTTTCCATTTCTCTTACAAATGGAAAGCTGTTTGTATTTGCCTTTCTATGAAGTGTGATTGACGCTGTCCATGTTTCAACTGGATTATTTCTCTTTTTCTTAATGGTTTGCAAGTGCCCTTGATATATTAAGAATATTAGCCCTCAATCATGGGTTGCAAATATTTGTTTTTCTGGTATTTTCATTTTAAAATGGGCTATGATATACCTCCATGAACTTTTCTCCTTAAAATAGATGATGAATTTGTGAGCTTACTGTTGATGGTAAAGCTATGGCTTATTTGTTTTTTCTTTTGCGTTTGATAAACATAACCCTTCCCAGTCCTGTTTGCTTATTTAACTTAACCAACTTCTTTTCCCCTTAGGTCTTGAAAAGCTGAACCTGCTATATTTATATGCAACTAATGTATTATACAAGTGAGGCAGTTTACCAAATTTTTTAACACATTCACTGAGAACCACTGAACTAGATGAAGCATCCCAGAGTATTAAATGATTTGCCCAGGGTTGATAAAACTGCAACTCTTATCCATTGGGATAAGAAACCAAGTCTCTGTTTTCTCTCTGAATATCAAGGTACCTGTATTCAACATTTTTTTAGTGTGTCAGTCATAGAACTCCCTGAGAGCCGAATGACTAGTGAGGGAAGTTAGGCATTATATACACCATGCTGAGTCCTGTCACATAAGGGTGCCAGAGGAACACCCCAAGGAAATAAGCAGGAAAAGTTGGTTGACCCTGGCCCAGGGCTCTGAAGAGAGCTGTTTGCCAGGTGTGAGAAAGCACATACCCTGCAGGGAATAGCAAGTATTTTCCAGGGAGAGAAGGGGGCCTTTAGGAATAGCAAACTACTAGTGCAGAAACTAGACGTGGAAAAATGCAAGCATTTCTGAATGGTGCAAGTGGAGGGTGCATGGGAGGTGGGGGCAATATAATGCAAAGTCTGACAGGATTCAGTGGCCTTTTGTACCCAAATCAGAAGTTAGTACTTTATTTTGTTTACCTGAGTATGTTAGGAGCTTGATAGTCCAGTGCAATGTTCCTGGTGCTAATACTGTTTCCAGGAAAGCAAAGTTCCTGATTCACCACCAGGAGTTCTCAGGTCCCCTGCTTCCCACAGCATCTGCTCAAACTGTCTGCAGTTATTAAAGAGACCAGTAGGTGGCGCTCTTGCCCATTGTGTAGAAAGCTGAATTAAACTGTTGAAACTTGGCATTCTCCTTACTCCAGTTCTGTCAACAAACTCAGAGCACCTACCTTGAGCCTTTGGATACAGAGCTGAATAAGACACATGCCCTCCTTTGAAGCTCCCTGGTTCCGGAGAGTGGAGAATTGGTCAGGTCTGGATGACTTACTTCTTTCCTTGCCCTACTTGGAGAGGGAAAGAGCCCCAATTTAGAGACCCAAAATGATGCCTATGTGTAAGATGATGCAGAAGATACCAGTGATCTTCTCCTTACGGGGCTGAGGAAAAGGGAAAGAGGTTCTGGTGTAGAGACCAAAGGGAAAAGTCTTGGAGGAAAAGGGATGAAGTTTCATTAATTTATTTGAATATTTGAATCAAATATTTATTGGGTATCTAATATGCTAGACATTGCTCCAGGTGCGGGGGATATAGCCATGAACAAGCTAGACAAAAATCGCTGCCCTCATGGAGTTCACATTCTTGTCTAGGGGAGGGAGACAATAAAATACACCAAAGAACCAAAGGGATGAGTCAGTGAAAGGGTCCGTCTGGAGCTGAGGCCAAGCCTGACCTTTTGTACTTAGCAGATATGAGTTTAATTTCACAAAGTGTACAAGGAAAGTCACATTGCCTTATTTTCATGAAAGTCTGAGGGACTCTGAACCCACTTCCTATTCCTCATCCTGTTCTTCCCCTAGCTGGTGGACAAGGTCCCTGAGTCTTAAGCATGAGGAAACATCCAGGAGGTAGGCCCGTCTGCCTCTTACCTGAACTGGTTATCTTTGAGAGGCCACCTGGTACCTGAAAGCCAGTGGCAGGTAATGTTCCTTGTAGAGGAACCCTGATGCCCACCATGGTGCCCCTAACCTCTCCTAGGTCTTAACAGGGCTCTGGGGTTTTTACAAGGGGGGGCATTCACTGAGATGGGGGACACTGGGAAAGCACAGTTTGGGACGTGTTTGAGGTATCTGTGAGTCATCTAAGTGAAAATGTTGAGAAGTCAGTGGAGACCTGTGCATCTGGAACTCAGTGGAGGGATCAGGGCTGGCTGGGGATACAAGTCAGGAAGTCATAGCAATGTGGTGAGAAGGGCGTTGGAGCAGGAGTTTGGAGTCCTGGATTCTAGTCCCTGTCCTGCTGTGGACTCACAGGTAACTTTGGGCAATTCACTTCCCTTTCTGGACTGTCAATGTCCCTATTTGTAAAATAATGAGATGGCTACCTGGCTTTCCAAAATCTTATTGTTTGTTGTTATTAGCTACTGTGGAGTTGGCCTCAGCTCATGGGGATCATGCACTGTGAGCCATAGGATTTTCAGAAGTAGATCACCACGCCTTTTCTCCTAGTCAGTCTTGGTCTGGAAGTGAAACCTGTTCAGCATTGTAGCGACATGCAAGCCTCTACTGACAGATGGGTGATGGCTGTGCATGTGGTGCATTGGCAGGGAATCAAACTCAGGTCTCCCGCATGGAAGGCAAGAATTCTACCACTGAGTCACTACTGCCCCCATAAACTAGTTGCTGCCAAGTCGATTACAACTTGTTTGTCAGAGTACCCCATGTATGTCAGAATAGAACTCCATAGAGCTTTCAATGGCTGATGTTTCAGAAGGTCATCACCATGCTTTTCTTCTGAGGTGCTTCAGGGTGGATTTGAACGTCCAACCTGCCGATTTTTAACCTGCCAACTCGGTTGGCAGCTGTCACAGATTGAATTGTGTCCCCCCAAAATACCTGTCAACTTGGCTAGGCCATGCATGATTCCCAGTATTGTGTAATTGCCCACCATTTTGTCATCTGATGTGATTTTCCTATGTGTTGTAAATCCTATCTCTGTAATGTTAATGAGATGGGATTAGGGATAGTTATGTTGATGAGGCAGGACTCAATCTACAAGATTAGGTTCTGTCTTAAGCCAATTTTTTTTGAGGTATATAAGAGAGAAGTGAGCAGAGAGACTTGGGGACCTCATACCATCAAGAAAACAGCGCCAGGAGTGGAGTGCATCCTTTGGATCTGGAGTTCCTGTACAGAGAAGCGCCTAGACCAAGGGAAGATTGATGACAAGGACCTTCCTCCAGAGCCAACAGAGAGAGAAAGGCTTCCCCTGGAGCTGACACCCACCCTGAATTCAGACTTCTAGCCTACTAGACTATGAGAATAAAATTCTGTTTGTTAAAGCCATCCACTTGTGGTATTTCTGTTATAGCAGCACTAGATGACTTAAGACAGCAGCCAAGTGCATTAACCATTTGCACCATCCAGGGACTCCTAAAATCTTGTTAACTTCTTTGAAACCTGCCTGGTTGATGGAGTTTTAGCAGTAGAACAGACCTCTTAGCAAATGTCCATGGAAAAAGGGCTTTGTTACTCCTGTACACCGCTGGTTGGGGTGTTAACTGATAAAACCAATTTGGAAAGCAATTTGGCAATATCCTCTGAAGATCAATATATGCATGCCCAATGACCTAGAGGAAACCCTCGTGGTGCAGTGGTTAAGAACTACAACTGCTAACCAAAAGATTGGCTGTTCAAATCCACCTGGCACTCTTTGAAAACTCTATGGGGCAGTTCTACTCTGTCCTATAGGGTTGTTAGTTAATGACCTAGAAACTCTGCTCCTAGGGATATACACTGCCTAGAGAAATTTGTATATATGTGTATCAGAGATATTTAGAAGAGTACCTATAAGTAACATTATTCATTATAACCACCAAACTGGAACAACTCAAATGTCTTTCAGCATAGAATGAATAAATTGTGCTGTGTTCATACAATGAAACACTATATAGCAATTAGAATGAACAAACTACAAATACAACAACATAATGTTTACAAGCAAAATTATTGAGCAAAAGAAGTCATACAAAGCATACGTATATACATATGTAAAGGATTTCATTTTACTTAGATCCACAATCAACACCCATGGAAGCAGCAATCAAGAAATCAAAAGACACATTGCACTGGGCAAATCTGCTGCAAAAGACCTCTTTAAAGTGTTGAAAAGCAAAAATGTCACCTTGAAGACTAAGGTGCGCCTGACCCAAGCCATGGTGTTTTCAGTTGCCTCATATGCATGTGAAAGTTGGACAATAAGGAAGACTGAAGAAGAACCGATGCCTTTGAATCGTGGTGTTGGCGAAGAATACCCGGTATACCATGGACTACCAAAAGAACGAACAAATCTGTCTTGGAAGAAGTACAACCAGAATGCTCCTTAGAAGCAAAGTGGGCAAGATTATGTCTCACATACTTCGGACATGTTATCAGGGGATCAGTCCCTGTAGAAGGACATCATGCTTGGTAAAGTAGAGGGTCAGAGAAAAAGAGGAAGACTCTCAATGAGATGGATTGACACAGTGGCTGCAACAATGAGCTCAAGCATAACAGCAATTGTGCAGGAATGGGCAGTGTTTTGTTCTGTTGTACGTAGAGTCGCTATGAGCCGGAACTGACTTGACGGCACCTAAAAACAACAACAAAAACGTACATATATAGCATGATTTTGTATACATAACGTTCAAAATCAGAACTAAAATATAGTATTTAGCGATGCATATTTAGATGGTGAAGTTACAAAGAATAAGGGAGTGAGTACCATGAAATTCAGGTTACTGGTTATCTTTAGGGCGAGGAGGGAGTTGTGATTGGAAAGTGGCATAACAGGCATCTAGGGCACAAACAATGTACTATTTCTTTAATTGAGTGGTACTTTAGAGTAATTCATGAAGCTGCACATTTATGCTTATTGTATGTCACATATAAAAAGGTTTTTTTTAAATGGAGGGCTCTGTTTACTTGGGACAGGTGAAATGGGGGAGAAACCTTAGGGAAGGAGAAAGGTAGGGGACAGAGCAAAGGGGGATAATAAGACCAAAGTAGAAAGGGTGGCTATGGGGGCCATGAACCCTAAAAAAGGTGTTCCCAGGGGCTCTTAGCAGAAGAAACCCAAACTGCATCTGCAAGCCCAAGCAAGAAGTCTAGGCTTCTGGAGTGATCACCAGAGAGCAGGACCGGTGCAATGATGGTGAGCCATCATTAGTGCCAGAGCAACTACAGGACAACAAGGCAGGGTCCCAGGAAGCTCTTAAAGGTTTCCTCTTTTACATCCTATCCTGAGGAAGGCAGCAGAGTGCAGTAGAAAGGACCAAATGGCCCTGTATTTTAATTCCAGCACTACTAGTTATGTGGTACTAGGCTGTGGTACTTGGTTATTTTCATCTCAGCTTCCTTATATGTAAATAATAATAATAACGATTAAGTGCTTACAACAAGCCAGGCGCTATAAACTTTATAAGCATATCTCATTTAATTCTTATGACAACTCTGTGAATATTATTATTCATATTTTACAGAGAAGAATTACTTGCCTGAGTTTATGCAGACAGGTAGAGCCGAGATTTGAATCCAGTCAGTTGGACTCCAGAGTTCATGCCCTTAACACTATACTACAGTTGCCTATAAAATGTAGGTAATAAAATTCATATTGCAGGACTGTCTATGGATTTTAGGTAATTAATGTAAAGTGCCTTTCACCTAACGTTTGCTTTTTAAAGTGCTATTTCAAAGAGAAATTTGAAGCAGCTCACTAATAAGACATATAGGAAAAAACCCATTAAACTAGAAATAGATGATTTAAAATTATGTTGTGGAGGAACATAGGAAGAAGTAACCTTCATAAATTTAGGTTGATACAGTTAATTGACAATTGAACGTTAAATTTAACTCACAGGTTCCTGGTAGCCAAAGCAAAGAGGAGACTAAAATGGGTTTGATAATTATCCCCCAAAGATAAGGAAGCATACAGAGACACAATTTTTCCTGGTGGTACTTAATTAAAAAAAAAAAAAAAGTTGTCCTATAGGTCCTTATTATAAGAGACTTCAGTAATTGAATAATTATGGCCAATGTCTTTAGCAACAATTTTACCGAATAATAAATGTTTTTTTGTAACACCGATTTTCATACATCATCAGGTTAAAAGCTCTGAATATAATACTGGGACTTCCTTTCTTTTCAGTGCATATTTGAATCTCCTTTCAGATGTATACTTTACCTTGTTTACTGTGACTCCACTTGTTTTTAAAATGTATATTTGGAGTATTTTCAAAAAATATGTTTTAATTATTGTTACTTCTTTGCCACCATTTTCAAAATAGATAACTGAATTCATTTTCAAATTTACATCATCGATCGTTTGAAATTTGTTTACTTGTGAAGACAAGGGCTTCTTTTTTTTTTTATTTTTATTTTATTGTACTTCAGGTGAAGGCTTACAGAACAAATAGTTTCTCATGAAACAGTAGTACACATGTTGTTTTATGACATTGGTTAACAACCCCACAACATATTAACCCTCTAAATTCTCAACCTTTTTTTTTTTTTTGGTGAAAATACACATAGCCAAAGATACACTGTTTCAAAAATTTCTACATACACAGTTCAGTGACATTGACTACGCTCTTCCAATTGTGCTGTTATTCTCACTTAAGATGAAGGCTTACAGAACAAAATAGTTTCTCATTTAACAGTTACTACAAATGTTGCCCTATGACAATGG